TTGCCTCAAATGTCATTTTACCCGAGTCACTAAAATATAAATGTGATATATGGCCCCTGTAAAACTGCTGGTAGTTGTGCCACTGCCAGATTGCAGAATGACTTCAGAGGTTGGTCCCACCACAACTGGGCAGTGTTAGAAAATTCAGAATCACCGTTCTTGTGTGAAGCACTCTTAGATTGTCACAAAGGACGTGTGCTTCAGTGCAGTGACTGTTCTTATCTTGCTACAGGAGGTGGTCGGTTGTCTATTTACTGTTTTGTGACCTTGCTCCCAGGAGAGTCTTGCAGAGTGCTGAGCAGTAGTTGCCCTTTTGGTGTTACAAGGGACCCTGCCAGAGCTGGTTCTGAAAGAACACTGGCTACTTTAGGTCAATAAAGGGAACATGTCGGGTGTTTGTTTCTTTTTCAGAAGGCAAATTGGAAACAAGTTCTATTTAATAATAGATTTCCTTTTTGGCACTATAAGTGAAATCTGTGACTTTCCTCTCTAAATTCTCTTTGTGAGCATCTGACTTGCTGAAAAGTGAAATGCAATCAGTGTGTGTGGTTTTATGGGTTTTCTTAAACACTTTTTCCCTGTTCGTGTTGGGTTTTTTTTTTGTAAGTTAGTATTTTGTTTCACCTCTTCTGTTTCATATTAGGTGAAATCAAGGCACTGACTGGGTAATTAAGTTATCTGGTATTGTTCCTGTCCTTGTATTTCATTCCCTGAGAAAGTCTTTTGGACTAGAAACTTTAAGCTTCAACCATTAGAAAATGAGTACACCAATGTTGCAGTTGGACAAGAGTGCACATATACTTTTATCTCCTCTCCTAGCTTTGTTCATGGTATCTTTCTTACAGAGTTTAAAATACTGCTGCATGTTAAGACTGTGGGTGGGATTGACTGTTACATTACATATTCATAACTTCCTGCCCTCACTGATGATGGAAGATGAGTATCAAGCTTCTTTTCCATTTTATTCCTGCATCAGTTTGCTAATTGCATGTGATTCATTTCATAGATTAAACATCCTGGAACCTCACCTACCAGGAGACTCAAATTATTGAATATTAGGAACCATTTTAGGGTGTTTTTACCTTCTAATAAGTTAAAGACAGAAAAACCCCATCTAGAACTCCAAACAGAAGAATCCAGGAGCCTTGTGGGTGTTGAAATGGAAGATTCAGCAAGGGAAAATGACATCGTAGCTTAAATTTGAAAGGAAAAAAAAAATAAAACCCAGCATCCCCCTTGGATTTTGTTTTTTCCTCATGGGCATTGAAGCACCACAACTGCAAGCTCATATTTTATGGCTTTATAAAAAAAAAAAAATCCAGATTGCAAAGTTTTCATTCCTTTTTGTGTTCGGAATCTCCATTTTAAGTAAATGAGTTTCAGTAAGAATTCTCTCACTTGTCATCTTGTTACTTCATGTGATTCGAAATATCATCACAAAAAAATAAGACGAGTTTCCAAGTGCTTAGATTCCAGGCTACACATGGTTCTGAGGTGGAAAATACTGGGTTGTGCTGGTTTATTGACAGGATGGCCACACAGTCAAGTCGTTTGTCAGTGCGTGTTAATAGCTGTGGTAGGGACGTGTGAACTGTAGACCCCAGAATTACATGAACCAGTGAGTTACTGGTGGCGGGTGGGAGCCATGAGAGGTGACCCAGGTGACTTCCAACTCCTGACACAGCCCCTGCACCCTGGAGTCCAGCCTTCCGGAGCCCTTGGTTTCTGGTGCCTGGACACGGGTTCAGTGAACCTGCCGGGCTCCACAAGTGGAGCAGCGTGTGAATTTGCAGGTTGTGTACAGTATCTGATCACAAAAGTCAGCGTCTCATATTCCACTCACCAATAATATGAAGGCAGCCTGGTTTTCTGGAGGAATAGTATCCAAATTTGTCCAATAAAGCGCTCTAAAACGCTGCTAAAAGCTTTAAGTTGAGGATGGGGATGTACTTACTGTATTTCTGTCACAAAATTGGTGGGCATGCCTAAGGCAGCCATTCTGAGTGCATTGGTAAAACCATTCAAGTAGGTAACACAAAAACAACTTCTACTGTATGCTGCTGCCTGCGCTTGTGTTATCTGTTTATTAACCTTTTGGAGGGTATAAGCTTTAGAAGCTTTAGATTGTGTCTCATGTTCTGAATCCTTGTGGTGGCAGCAGAGCTCTTACATGAAAAATCCTTCAATATAAACTGCTGTGACCTTTTTAACACTTTAGTATCAAATGGGTAGAAACTTGAAGAGGCATTTAAATTAGGCCTTTTAAATTTCCAAAATAAAATTGAAAGTCTTCTAAATACTCCATAAAAGTTATCTGATATATTTTAACAGTGTAGAGAATTCTTGAGTGGGGGTGGGTGGGTGGAAGCTAACTCAAATTTTATTTTCTCGCATATTGTTGCACTCGGTGTCTTCTCATCCATGATTATGAGTTCTCTTTAAGTTACTAAGTGCAGAGCATTACCTGTTTTCCACTTACTCCTGCTACTGAACAAGTTTCCATGGACCACTGTTAACAAGCAGCCTGGGTACTAGTGAAGGCACTAAAGAAAGTGGTAAATCTGAATTCCTGTATTAGAGGCTTTCCAAATCAGGTTATGAAGAAAGTTGGGCTTTAATCCTGAAACAGCTCATTGTTAGGTTAATGTTTTAAAACAATTTATATACACCTTTTAAATCACCATCTGTGCAACAGTAAACTTTTTCTTTGTCCATAAAAACACTTTGATCCTAAATGGTTAGATAATTTCTGGTAGCAGTTTGGTCCACAGACTATGAATTGTGTAAAAACTGATGCGGTGCTTTCTAACAGATGCTCACTTGCCTGCTAGTCTCCATTCTGTTATGTTCTGCATGATTTTATTGCATACTTCTCACCTCTCTAAAACAGTATTCATAAAGCTGAGAACTGCTGAAGTTATTCTGGGCTTCTACTCAGACTGTCTGAACTTTCTTTGCTGCTTTTAGGTGTGACGGTCAAAAACTGAAGTTTTCTAGGCAAAAAGCAAATAGATGGTTTTAATTCCTGCCTGTCCTCAGATTTTTATGTCACTGGAGATACTAGCTTTTAAATACCTACTGTGCTATTGCTTTTGCCCTGATACCCTGCTGCTTCGCCCTCAGTAATTCCAATTTAAATCTCAAAAGTGCTTCAGTACCTCCTGTTAGTCCTCAACATGTCCTTCCTTGTACCTTATTTGCCATGAGTATCAGCTGCCTGGTTAAGACAGGCCTGCCGAGTGTTCATCAGCTTCCTCTCCAATGCTTATTTTCACTTGCCTATGGAATTGTCTTGGGTGATTGATTTTTTTAAAAATAAAGGCAGAAGTCAGTCTGTGTATTTTGATTGCCTAATTGGTTCTACAAGTCAAGCTGTTCCTTCTGCAATTATCTCTTACAAACTACAACTGAAAATTGGTCAGTGACTGATTTATGAACCATAAAAATAATCAAAGCACACTTGTGCAACTTTGACAGGCTGAGCACAGTAATGTTAAAACCAGTATTTTAAAATGTATCCTGAATGCTCACAAGGAATGTTTGGTCCTGGTTTTTTTGTACCCCTGTTCTGATAAAGCGACATGTGCTCTCAGATGATGGGAGAACTCTTTTCTGTGGGATTTTCATGTCTCCTGGTAAGGTGTATATGCATTTCAGTTCTTTATTGAAATATTTTCAGGAGTGTTTTTTGATATTTTTTTTGTTACTGCTGTCTGGAGAGACTGGAACAGGAATAGGAAGCATCAAGAATATCTTAAACTGTAGATATGCAGACAGCTTTTTATATCCACTTATATGAAAACAATTTTTTTTTTTTAAGGAATTCCTTTCCCCTAACTTCAGATACTAGGTTAAGAAATAACTGTCTGTGCTATTAGATTATCTAATCTAAAAAGAATTAAGACTCATTTTCAATAAACTATTGCTATTTGGAGTTCATCCTTAGGAGCCTTGCTTATTTAGTTAATTTCATACTAAATGGGGAAAATATGCCCTATTTGTTGCATTGGTTCTGCTGTTGTCTTCAGGCAGTAAAATTACTTTATTTGAAATCATGCAAATGTCATACTGTAATCTCTTGTGGAGAAGTAATTTGGAGGGTCTTGACTTAATTTTTCCAGTTACTTTTACCTCAATGTTTAAGCATAAACCTGAGTCATTTTAAAAGCTTTAGTATAAGCACAAAACTTTCATTCACCATCTTAAGGAAAATAGATCTGCTGTCAAAAGTGTGTGTAATTAGTGTAGAGCGGTGTTTTGAACAGACAATAACTGTCACTGTCTTCAGGATGAAGAGAAAAATGTATGTTCTGTGTTCTCATTAATTCTTGCTGCTGATGCTATTTTTCTCAGCCAGAATTATGGTAACATTGTCCTGCT